CGTTTGGCTGGGTTTTGGGTTTATGCTGTTTATGTGGCTGTATCCAGTTGTGGTTTCGTTCTGGTATTCTTGGGTTGTTCAGGATGTCTGGTTGGGTTTACGTCTGGTTAGATGAGTCTTGGTCTCTTAGGTGTTCTAGATTTGTGGTCTTCGTGTTTGGTTTAGAGCAAGTCGTGGGGTTGTCTTTGTTGTGGTTGTCTGAGCTAGTTGTCTTCTCTAGTAGGTTTGAGGTCCTGAGTCCTACTTCAAGTCGTGTTTTTTCTGTCTGTTGATCCTTTCTGCTCCTTCTCTGATTCATGTGAGTCTTTGTGAGAACTAGGTTAGCTAAGTTCTCCCCGTTTTTCTTGCACGCCTCCCTCTGTCTGTCCTCCCCTCAGTACTATTTTTGGGTGTCTGTTCTAGCATTGGCTAAATTGAGTTATTGTGGTGTCTTTTGGTTGTACATCTCTGTTGTTTGTCCGTGGTTTCTGGGGGGGTGGGAGAGGGGAGGGAAGGTGTGTGGGTTTATTCGAATGTGGTGCTTATTGTGGGTGTGTGTTATCCTGTCAGGAGGCTGTGCCACCACGGTAGCTCCCCCATTCCCCCCCTACCAACACCCGCAGCTCTCTTAAATATGTAGTCCATCCATGGGAACCATGTCAGAGCACATTTGTCTGAGTGTCCCTGCAGTGAGGCCGTCATCATTTCCATGTTTTAAATTGTTTCTACCCTGTCGACCCATTGTTGGAAAGAGGGTATTATCGGGCTTTTCCACATTGTTGGTATGAGCGTTTTTGCTGCTGTGAACAGGTGTACGATAAGGACTCTTTTGTATGTCTTCAGGGGTATGTGGTATGGTTTAGCAACATTGGTAGCGGCTGGAAGGGGACTTCTGTACCTGTGATTTCTTTGATCGTTCGATGTATCATGTGCCAGTATGGTACGATGTGCAAGCTTTTCCACCAAAGGTGTATTCCTGTGCCTTTTTCTATGTTGCACTGCCAGCACTCACCTGGGATTGATTCGTGTACATGCCGTAGGACATCTGGTGTCCTGTACCAGTGCGTCAGTATTTTATAGTTGCACTCTTGAAATTTGGTACTTATGGACCCTTTGTGTGTCAGTTGATTTTTTCCCACTCGTTGTCTGTGAGTTCCATTTCCATCTCTCTTTCCCACCGCTCAGTGAAACCTAGTGGGCTCTTGTCTCCGTTGTTCTGTAGCATGGTATATAAGGTCGATACTCCATGCGAGAGGTGTTGCCTGGCCGTGCAAAGTTTTTCTAGGTGCAGCAATGGGCGATATAGGTAATCCCTGCCTTTCACAGCGGTGACGTATGCCTTTATCTGATGGTAGCGGAATTCGTCCAGTCTGCTCGGTCTGCGGTCTTGTAGCAGCTCTGTCAGAGTCTTTAGATTTGGCCTGCCACACCATTGGCGAATGTGTACCCAGTCCGTTGCCCCAAAGTTCTTTAGGTCGGCAGGGCGAAGACCTCCTGCCAACTTCGGGTTGTTAGTTATGGGTGTGAGCGGGTTGAGGGACGTTGTGAGTTTCTTGTAGTAGCGTACATTGCACCAGACCCTCAGTGTGGCATCTATCATTGGGTTATCTGTGCGCATGTCCCCATGTGTTGCTTCTCCTAGCCATAGCAGGGCGGGGATCTTCCCTTGCGCTTGTTGTAATTCAATGTTAACCCATTGTCTAGTGCTTGGGCTGGCGTGCCAGTCGACTAGTCGATGAAGATGCGTTGCTTGATAGTACGTGATGATCGACGGTAGTCCCGCGCCTCCTTCGCTCTTTGGTCACTCCAGGGTTGATCTCTGTACGGGTGCTGGTCTCTGGTTCCAAACAAACTGTCGGATGGTAGTCGATACCGACTGAAAGAACTCGCTTGGGATGGTTGTGGGTTGCGTTTGGAATAAGTATAAGATGCGGGGCATGACATTTATTTTGATTGCGTTTATTCGGCAGAACCATGAGATGTACTGAGTTGTCCACCGCTTTATGTCCTGTTGCAAGATTGCGAGAAGGGGCACAAAGTTCATTTGGTATATTTGTGCAGTATCTTTTGGTAGCCAGATGCCAAGGTAGTGTAGTTTGGTTGTGCATATTTTGAAGGGGTACTGTGTTCGAATGTGTTGCTGGAGGGCTGTGTCCCTTGTGAGCGGCATCGCCTCCGATTTATCCAGATTGAGTTTCAGGTTGGATACCTTGTTGTATTTTTGGAATGCCTCCAGGAGGTTTGGTGTCGATATCCTGGGTTGTTCCAGGAAGAAGAGCAGGTCGTCGGCGTATGCTCCCTCCCGCCTATGCGGTGTCCTGTGATTCCTCCGTCTCCTCTGACCGCCTCGAGAAAGGGTTCGAGAGTGAGGGTGAATAGGAGGGGGGACAGGCGGCAGCCCTGTCTCGTGCCGTTGCATATGTCAAATGAATCCGTCAGTGCTCCGTTGACCCGTATGCGTGCCGATGGTGTGCAGCTACCCAGGTTCGCAGGTCCGAACCCCATATGTCTTAAGGTCTCCGCCATAAAGGTCCAGTCCACCCGGTCGAACACCTTTTTGGGGTTGGTGGAAGGCAGAACCATGTCCCGTTTGCTGGCCTTGGTTGCGTGGATGATGTTAAGGGCTCGGATGGTATTGTCCCTTGCTTCCCTTCCGGTTATGAACCCGACCTGGTCCGAGTGTATCAGGTCTGGGAGCGTCCGTGCAACTCTGAGGGCCATGGCTTTGGCGAAGAGTTTTAAATCCATGTTCAGCAGCGAGATTGGCCGGTAGCTGGCACAGTTTGTTGGGTCTTTGCTTTCCTTTGGTATGATCGTGACCGTCGCTCTTGGGGTGTCTTTGTGGAATAAGCCTCCATTTCGTATGGAATTGAAACCTGTCAGGAATCTGGGTAGTAGAATGTCTTTGAATGTTCGTATGTTCGTATGTGACAGGGATTCCATCCGGTCCTGGTGCTCTGTGCTCTGTGCGGTTTCGATGTTTTCAGTGCTTCCGCTAGTCAGGGGCATCTCCTGGTCAGATTCCTGCTCTGGGGTAAGTTTACAGATTACGTGGTCTTCCAGGTATGTAGCTATCCGTTCCTGGTGGAGTCTTGCTGCTATTCTATTCCTATTTTGCGCTTGGTCATATAGCGCCGCGTAATATTCTCGGAACGCGTTTAGAATGCCCTCAGGGAGCTGTGTGACGCCTCCTTCTCTTGTGTGGACTTTGTGGACGTGTTGTTTTCTCCGTTTCTCCTGGAGCATCCTTGCCAGCAGTCTGCCACTTTTATTAGAGTGTTCATAGAAATGTCTAGATGTTTTCCTGGCGGTATGTAGCAGTCCTTGAGACAGTATATCCCGGAGCTCTCTTCGGGTCTCCGTGAGGCTGAGGTATGTACTTTCATCCAGGGTGTTCTTGTGCTCACTTTCAAGTTCTGCTATTTGTCTTGTCAGGTTAGCAATGTGTGCCCGCCGGTCTTTTTTGCGCCTGGCGCTAGCTGTTATGAGGTGTCCAAGGATAACACATGGGCCTCCCAGAGTGTTAATGGTGGAGTGTCTGGGTTGTCATTGGTTGTAAAGTAGTCGGTTAAGGCACGGGACACCGTGGTATTGTGTTCCAGGTCGTCTAGTAGGGATTCATTTAGTTTCCACTGCCTTTCTCTTGGTTTAAAGAGCTGGGAGCTTGTGTGAGCCAGAACCGGCGTGTGATTTGAGTGGTCCATGAGGCCTATGTCTGCGTTGTGTAGTAGGTTCAGGTATTCTTGGGCCATGAATATATAGTCTATGCGACTATATTGTGTATGGACCGCTGAGTAATGGGTATAGTCATGGTCTTCTGGGTGGTATGCTCTCCAGCAGTCCACGAGCCCCATCTTGTGCAGGGATCATCGTGCGGTTCTCAGGCAGTGTGTAGGGATTGCACTTTGGCCCCTGGAGGTGTCCCAGAGGGGGTCCAGCGGCATGTTCAGGTCTCAAGCCACTATCAGCAGGCCCTCCCTGAACCTCTCCAGCTTGGCCAGCACCCGTCTTAAGAAATTGTGTTGTTTTTTTGTTCGGACTAAACAGGCACGCAAAGGTGCTGGGCTGCTGTCAGTTATGGCCTTTTTCTAACCTAGTGGTTTCTCCCTTACATGGGTATACGCCTTTGGGGTTCCGTGCGTTTTGTATTGCTTTAGTCGTGTAGTATATCCACATTCTAGGCTTTAGCACTACGTGCTGGTTTGAGGCAGGGTGCATGGGAGTGTAGGGGGAGGGACTTCTGGTGCGGGGTGTATCCACTATGGGTTCTCCTTCCCTGTCCTATCTCTTCCTCATATTTTCCTTCCCTTTTACCCCGTTCTTTCTCTTGCAATAAATCGCTACATCCACCCCTATACCTTCCCTACTTTCTATTCCAGCAGTTCCAGCTTTTCGTTCCCGTTCCACACCAGACCCCTCCCTCTGGCTCCCCTCTATTTCCACTTTTATTCTATGTTAGAGCAATGGCTGGAGTCAATTATTCAGGCTTTTACATGTATTGTGCAAACTGTGTTTATGGGTTGTATGTATAGGGTACTCTCGTATGGGGGGCCATCAGATTAGAGGTATACACTACAAATCGAATAAAATTTGCATAGTAGTTTTTCCCCGCTCAACAGCCTGGAGATTCTCCTACCCAACGCCCGTCTCGCCTCAGGTCGCACCTACCCGCGCCCCCCCAGATCCCTTCAGTCCACCGCCCCACAGTCCAGGCCGTAGTTCTCATAGTGGTCCAAGTGTGAGAGCTGCATATGGGTGTCCGTTATAAACCCGGTCGATATCGGCAAGGGTCTTCTTAGTTTCCCTTTCTTCCCCGTGAAAACCCTCTTCATGAGCCTTAGCTTTGGGACTTTCCGGAGGGACACTATACCCCGTTGTCTACCCCCAGGGTTGACCCTCCCCTCCCCACCTTATTAATTTCCGTGTATGTCTCTCGTCTAATGCTAAAAAGTGAGGTTTAGGGAGAGTACATACCCCAGGTATGGCCTTCGCATGAGTGAGTCTGGATCAGTGGGACCCTGTTAACACGTGGGTCGGGGTTGCGGGGTGCTCATCTTTGGCCCGGGGTGAAGACCTCTTGTTGAGGGTGCTTGGCTATGTCTATTCTTCAGGGACCTGTGTGCCACTTCCGATGGTCCTGTCACCCAGGCCGGAGGACCGTCTAGGATCCAGTTCGTGATCTGTATTGTGGGCAGGCCTGCTGCGGTCAAAAAGCGGGGAGCATCGTTTGGCCATCGGATTATGTGCCAAACGTTGCCCGTCCTAGCTTGGAGGCTAAATGGGAACCCCCACTTGTAGGGTATTCTCCTCTCCTGTAGCATCCGGGTTAGCGGTCTCAGGGCTCGGCGAGCATCAAGGGTGATTGTGGACAGGTCTTGATAGAGGGAGACCTGGGAGTCCATGTATATAATCCTTTGTTGCACTCTAGCTGTTTGCATTATGGCTTCCTTTAGTTGGAAGGATTCCAGCGAGCATATGATTTTTCTTGGTAGGCCGTCTCTTCTGGGCGCCCACAGGGCCCGGTGTGCTCGTTCGATGCCAAAATCATTGGGGGCTGTTTCACCTAAGAGCTGCGTGAACGGGCCTGTGAGGACCTCTTTGGGGACTTTCCCCTCCGCCTCCTGGAGGCCTCTGATTCTTATGTTCTTGCGGCGACCTCTATTATCGAGGTCTTCGACCTGTCAACGGATGTCCAGTAGGATGTTTCCTTGCCTCCCAGTTGCCAGTTCCACTGCCTGCCGGTATTGGGCGTTCTGTAGACGGTCTACTTCCAGGCCGTCCACGCGCTGCTCCATCGCTGTAAAGGTCTCTACGGACCGCTGTGATTTCCTCCCTGATGACTGCTCTCAGTTCCGCGACCATATCCACCTTGTCTTTGCGGGTAAGCATGCTTGCTGTGATTTTTGCTATGTCCGCTGATATTTTGGATAGTGTGGAGGTTGCTGGTGAGGTCCGGTCCGAGTGTGCCGTGCCGGAGCCCTGCGAGGATGGTGCCGGCGTGACGGTGCCATCAGAGCCACGAGCGTCCTGCGGTGTTGTAAGGAATTCATCCATCGGGCCAGGGTTGTGTCTAGCTGGGGTCACGCAGGAGGTCCCCGCAGTGCCCATTCGCTTGGTTTTCCCCATTTTTAGCTTAATTTTGACGCTATTTTCCAGGGTTTAGCAGGTTGGGGCCCAAGAGCTCAGGTTGAGTGTGTCTCACTCCATCGGTAAGAATAGAAATGCATTCTTCAGGTCAAGTATTTAATTTTGTATTCTGTAGACGGACGCCAGATTTTGTTTTGGGATGTTAGGTTTCTTCTAAGTTACATTTAAAAATCTGTCAGTGTTTATGATTCATGTGCCTGTTTATTCTGTCATACTCTCACACCTCTACCATAGTGGTGGATTTTTCTCAGAGGTAATATTTGCTTCACTTTGATATGCCCTGGTTGAGATCTGTAGCAGAAATGACAGACTAGCATCTGAGGAGCTCCTAATCTAAAGAAAATCAGAGGGGAAAAAGGTGCTTATATTTAAATTTTTTCAAAACTATTGATACAAGAGCAAAGTAGTGTTAACAGGTAACAAAAGAACAAGAAATACAAGGGCTCAGTTTTATAACATTTAATAATCTAACCATGGAGAAACCTTAAATGTCTTATGAGTATTGCTGTGGTGTCTTATTTTTAACTCACCCTTTAGATCAGGGCTTGTCAAATTCAGCACTCAAAGTGCCAAAAGTTGCCTACCCCTGCTTTAGATATGAACCAAACAAATTTAAGGGAAATAGCCCATAAAGCTGATCAGTAGAGGGGTAATAGATCAATTCCCCTGGGACTACTTAAAGAGGCAGCTTATAATGATGATACTGAGTTATTCCACCTGTGTGGACTGTAACTAATTGAACACTGCACATATCAATGAGGCATGACGGGAATTGCACACAAGATGGGTTTCTATGATAAATACGTTTTATTTAGTAGTTTCTAACTATATAACTTAATAATAAACACTTTTTTTCATGATCTGTAAATGAAATTAAAATTAAAACTGCTAAGAAAGACTTTTTAACTTGAGACTCCTACTTTTTGGAACAAATTAACTTTTACAGTTTTAACTTTTACATTATTATTCATACAAGCAAATTGCTTTGTGTACCTGAGTGTTTATATTGAACAAACCTCGTGTCACCCATAATGTGATATTATGCAAAGTCTAATATGTACCGATTCCCATTTAATTGTCTCAGGTTTAATTTGCAATAAGCAACTAATTGCTTCTTCCTCTTGTCTTTTACTTCGCTAAACATTATTATATTACTGCCTTTTTAATTAATAGACATCCTCTAATATTCATATAGCTTAAATTATTTACACCACAAACTGAAACACCCATTTATACATTTATAAATTCTCTGGAGTTTGTCCTCAACTACATAATTCACTCCAATGTGTTCACCAAGCAGTAGGGGTCACAGAAATAAGCTACTTATAATAGCAAACATTGCCCTTAGGAATTGCTAATGACTTGTTCCATAGCACAATTAAACTAAACTATCCATTCTACAGGGAAATATTTAGACTTTCTTTATTAATTAACAGTTTAAGAGAAACCCCAGGCATATTTAAGGATGAGAATTCTAAAGCTCATTTTCCCTCTTGTGTGGTATTATTTTTGCAGAGACAGTATAGTAAGCCTAGTATCTACAATGGGATGAATGCTGCTAGGGTCTCCCCTTGGACCGGTCTGCTAATCTACAACAATGTATCCCTTTCTTATACAATATGGAGCGCATTATCACAATCTGTCCTCAATATATTCTTCCACGTAGGAAAAAGGAATCCTTTTAGGTTTCCTGTGTATAGTCTTTCTACATTAAGGTCAGCACAACATAAGAATCTTCGGCCACTATTTGTACGTGTAGGTTTATTCTTCCAGCGATAGGTATTTTCTTAAGTTTAGATTCCACATTCTTGGCACTTACAAACTGTTCCTCATCAAGGCAGTGTAAGTAAAGGGCTAGAAGGTGAAATCCACTTGATTTGATTGGATTCTTAATTTTTACCGTCTACTCATTCCATCTACCTCAAGAATAAACGGTTGCCCCCCTTTAGTGGACTAACAAGCATTTATACCTAGAGCCAGGTTTGCTTTTGAATCTCACTAAGGTGAGCAATATTTGCATGACATATCAGTATATATATATATATTACATTTTTTTTATATACTACACAAGAATTTTTCATCTCTGTGTTTATCTTTGAGTTTTTCCAAAGAAGAGAAAAAAAGGAGGGTATCACTTTAATACACCAAGGTGATTGTGATTTAAGCTAGTCCCTTTACTTGGCTCCTCCTTTGTGAGTTTGACTATTTATTTTTCCATAAATACTGCACTATTTTTCTTTCTTTTTCCTCATATTTAGCACAGAAATAAGTCTTTTTTTATCGCAATGCTTTTATAGGGATAAGTAAAAAGTTTCTAGCGCTTCACTGAAGGGTCTGGTGTTGGATTTCCCCTTCTAGCTCTTTACTTACACTGTTTCTATATTATCAGTGGGTTAAGAGACTCCCACAAATTGACATTTCTTAAATATATTTAAGCGCCTTTTCAGCACAGAGCACTTTAAAAAAAAACAAAAAAAAAAAACATTGTTCCACTTCAAGGCTCTATATGTTATCAGTCTACTTGCATAGGTCCCACTTGGGATTGTGCAGAGTTTGTGGCATTGTTTTTAACCCAATATCAGTGGTTCCTGACTATGTTTTATACATAGAGGATAAACATGTTAAACTGTATAACTCGTGAGTAATGTAGTTCTACCTAATCTGTTTCTTGTGCTTGCATGGGATTGCTTCCTTTTAATATAAGTGCTTATAATCATGCACGTTGGCGTAATGCATCTTTGTCTGTAAATTGGGATAATGGGTAATGTAGTCAGTACGGATGATGAGTTGAGCATAGATAAACCTGCTTTGCTAATTTGTTATCTAGAGACAGTTGAACAGTGGGAATGTTATTGTTTTAAGTAACTGCTATGAATATGAAGTGACACCCCCCCATCCCCAGACACCTGCCTATCTGTTTCTCTGGTATTGCTGTAGAATATTGAAGGTCATTGAAATCACAGAAACTAAATGTCTCCAAAAGGCATAACTTTGACTTTAAGGATATTTGCCAACCACTGGTTTGAATTATTTTGCAATGTATGAAAGTTGAACTTCATTTTATTAAATTAGAAAATAGAAAAGAGCACCAACAATGCTCTTCTTTGTATATGTTTCATTATTCATATGCAGTGCATTTGTATGTGGTTAGGCATAATTCCACAATGTTTAGAGATGGATTAAACAGTCATAATGAGCACTATAATCTCATTGTACTGAAGTGGATATGGTGGGATGTTCCAGCTCTCTTCCATTATGATTGTTAACAGGAGTAGTCCCAGAAGATTGGAAGTTAGCGAGTGTAATATAAGAACAGTGACTGAGTCACACCACACAAAAACAAAAGTTTTAGACTTTAGAAAAACAGACTTTTCTAAAATTAGAATATGTGTAATTGTCAGACTGGAGCAATTTAAAGGGACACTATAGTCACCAGAACAACTACAGTTTATTGAATTTGTTCTGGTGAGTAGAATCATTATCTTCAGGCTTTTTGCTGTAAACACTGTATTTTAAGAGAAAATGCAGTGTTTACATTACAGCCTAGTGATAACTTCACTGGCCACTCCTTAGATGGCTGTTAGAGATCCTTCCTGGGTCATGGCTGCCTAAAATGCATCCAAACATTCAGTGTCTCCTCCCTCTGCATGCAGACACTGAACTTTCCTCATAGAGATTCATTGATTCAATTCATCTCTATGAGGCCAGGGCTGTGTTTGAATAATGCTGACTCTGCCCCTGATCTGCATCCTTGTCAGTCTCAGCCAATCCTATGGAGAAGCATTGTGATTGGATCAGGCTACCTTTTCTGATGGCCCCTGTGCTGATAGCTGTATTTTACACTGCAATAAGGTTTATTTGGGTATTTCTGCCGGGTTGTTCGGGACTTCCAGTATGTGAGTAGTGCTACCCCAGATAGCCATGCCATGGAGCCTATTTGTGTAACAAAAGACTATGGAAAAGACTTGATCTGAGCGCCATTCAATAATAATGTGCACTCAGATCTAAGCTATCTGGGGATATGTTGCATGTATATGTTTTATATAGTAATTGTAACATTGTGTAATTTTATGTCTTTTTGTAACCATGTGGTTAATGGAGTCTTGCCTCTGTCCTGGGAGATAATTTGATTACTTCCCAATTATCTCCAGGATAGAGAGGAGGGATTGTGATGTCACTGTGGGAGTGTTTTGTTTGTATTGTCTGTGATTGGTTATACTGGGTCCCACCCTGTGGGATGTCCCCTTGCATGGGGACTTGCATAAAAGCCAGTGTGTGGTCATTAAAACCAGATCATCTTGTACCTTTCTTGAAGCCTTGGCTCATGTTTGGGGGAAGGGATACCTACACTCTGGGGATTGCTATAATCACTTACTCCCCAGAGTAAGCTCTTGCAATAGCTTGTTTTGTTCCTGGTTCCTGCTCTCTGGATTTAGGAGAGGTTCACCCACTGGAAGCTGGATCCTTTCCTTGGATCCAGGGTGGGTGAGAGACGGCAAGACCCCGGCGCAGCTGCATCGCTGGAAGTGGGGTCTGCAGTGCTGATGGTGTCGGTTGGAGTGCTCGGAGTCCTCGGCAAGCACTAGGAGCATCGATTGGCGGAGGTACTCAGTCGGAGTGCCAGCATTCCATCACAGTATGTATAAAAGAGTTGTGGCAATTGACATTTAATGTGGATAAGTGCAAGATAATGCACCTTGGATGTAAAAACCTAAGGGCAGAGTACAGAATATTTGATAGAGTCCTAACCTCAAGATCTGAGGAAAGGGATTTAGGGGTAATTATTTCTGATGACTTAAAGGTAGGCAGACAATGTAAAAGAGCTTACTATCTGATGTAGTAAGTGGAGCTAGGAACCCAATATCCCACTCTGATTGGAGAAGACTATTCCTGACTAGAAATAGATGTAATTGTAATCTGACTTGCCAATGTTCCATTGGTATTGCTGTATGCTGGATTTCCCTGCCGGTCACGAAACC